GCACAGCACAGACAGGGTGGAGGCGGAGGGCGAGGTGAGAGAGGTGTGCATGGAAGCCCTGGCACAGCCAAGACTGCGTGTGGCCTGGTGGTGGCGACTGGTGCAAGCTCTTGATCTTGGTAACCACAGTGTTCTTCCCTGAAGTCCCCTGGCAGTTGGCCTTCTGGAGGAACAAAATTAGCATTTGCTGTAGCATGATAGTGGAGAGTTCAAACAACATTTCTCCCCTTAAGGATGTTCTTACCACCTGCTATCATGTCAAATCGGGCAGGGGCGGGGGGCGGCGGGGATTGGCAGTGGCTGGAGGGCTGGAGAGGGTTGTAGAGAGAACTTGTATCATGGGGCTATTGCCAGATGAGAGTCCTAGAGGCCCTGGGTAGCCCCTAAAAGCATCCTGAGGGCATGTGTGTAGCACTCGCTTTTATTGGTGATGTGGGTTGTGTTTTCCAGTGGATCTGGCTTCTCTGCTTCGTATAATTGTCAGGAGTCCCCATCGTCTCACATACAGCCTGGGGTCTGTGGACTTGGAAACCTGGGGAACACCTGCTTCATGAACTCTGCTTTGCAGGTAAACGGGAGAGCTGCCATCCCAATAACACTGTGTCTTCACAGTATTTGGGGCTCGGGTAAGGGTGGCCAGCTGAGGCGTGGGGAGGATCATCTCCTACGGGTCCCTATTTGCCCTTTGTTAGTACTGCAAGGGTCCCTGCCAGCACACCTCCCACTGGTTAGTACAGAATGGCCTCATCAGAGTGTGCGTTCCCAAAATGCCTTAATCACTCCTAGGTTTGGCTTTGTAGTAAAAATATTTTGAATTTTGTTGACCATTAGGGAAATATCTCCCCAGAAAGTACTGGAGTATTGACCTGGTTCGTCTCTGATTGGACAAGAACTCACAGTAGCTGGTGCCAGGCAATGTGACAGTACTGTGATGGACGTGAGCTGGAGTTCGGGTCCAACTACAAAGTTAGGAGGCTATAGTCCCCAAGACTGTCTTCACTTCTGGCACCAATTGCAAGTTTGGGGGTCCCCAAGATCACCCTCAGTTTTGATAATTTGCTGGAGGGACTCATAGACTCACTGAAAACTATTATACTCACAGTTATGGTTTATTATAGAGAAAAGATACAGGTTATAATTAGCCAAGGGAGGAAGTAAATAGGGCAGGGTCCAGGAGGGCTCCCAGTACACAGCTTCCGTGGTCCTCTCCCTGTGCATTCAGGGTGCATTACTCACCTGGCATCGATGTGTAACAGGCATGGAGTGTTGCCAACTGTGGACACTCACCTGAGCTTTGGTGTACAGAATTTTTATTAGAGCTTTATTACATGGCATAATTGATTGATTTCCCAGGTGGCTAAATGCAATCTCCAGGTAGATTGATACCATGTGATCTAAAGCCCTACCCTTAGTTATATCGCTGGCCTTTCTGGAATGGTTAGTCCTCACCCAAAGATTATACAGTGTAGCCAGCCCCCACCCTAAATTACAGTTTTAGACTCTCCAGTCTGACTGAAGGGCCCCAGGCAGTCAGAGATGCCTCTATCAGGGATAACATTCCAAGAGCCAACAGAGTACTTTCCAGGAACCAAGGGCAAAAGCCAGACCTTCCCTTTGGATAAGGCCAGATTTTTTGCTATACATGGTCACTCAGTAGTAAGCAAAGCAGACATGGTTTTTGTCCTCACAAGACCTATAGTCTAACTTTGAAGTTTGTTGTAATACAAGGGAAAAGATAAAAAGATTAGTTAAAAGGTTAGGTAACTCTTGGCATTGGAAATTATTTTTCTTCACTGTGGGGAGATGGGAACATGCCTAGTACTAAAGAAAAGAGATGAGATTTGACTTTTCATCGGGAGGTTTTTTCAACTCTTTGTACCCTCAATGTTTTCTCATGAAACAGTGAAACGTCCCAATTCCAACAAAAAAATTATCTTAAAATCGTCGCATTGATTAGAAAATTATTGTGTGTCATGCACTTGGGGTACACAGCTTTTACCCTCAGGTAGCTTGTTCAGAGACAGTTCTTAGCCAGCGAGTGTGACCACCTCCAAGACCATGTCCCTGGGAGCTTAGTTGCAAGGTGGGCCACCAGCTTGGGCTTCTGAGAGGCTGTGCCTTCCTGTGTGAGCCTTTCAGAGAATCTGCTGAGCACTTCATTGTGTCGGCATTGACCCTCACTGGCCTTTTAGAACTTGGTTTATGTTGTATCTGTGTGCTTTCCAGGAGGGGTGTGAGCTCCGATCGTGTTCTCTTTCAGTGCTTGAGCAACACCGCGCCGCTGACTGACTACTTTCTCAAAGATGAGTACGAGGCTGAAATCAACAGAGACAACCCTCTGGGGATGAAAGGGGAGATTGCGGAGGCCTATGCGGAGCTCATCAAGCAGATGTGGTCTGGAAGGGATGCCCATGTGGCACCTCGCATGTTCAAAGTAGGTTGATATGTTTACTTTTTCCTGTTTTGGGGAGAGTGGTTCCGTGTCGCATTGAGGCATTCCTTTACTTGCATTTTGGGATTAAGATAGGATCTGAGACTAAAAACACCACACAGTCAGTCCTTCTTTTCTGTTGTTGAGCCATTCAGCCCACACTCGTCTTAAGTGACCTCAGCCCCCATCTCTGAGCTGCGGACACTTGAGAGGTCCTTTGTATAAGCTGGTCACTCAGAATGCTCTATTCTGTGGTACCAGTTTTTAAGTGGTCAGCAGCCTAAGCCAGACCATAAAAATTCAATTTAACTTCCAGTTGTCTTCTGAAGGGTTCTCTCCCAGGTTCTCTGAGCCTGGAACCTCTATCCTCTGTGGTTTGAGTTGTGCCCCCTCAGTCAGGAATTGGGTCATAATTTGAAATCTGAGAAATCCTATTTAGCCTGCACCACTAGGTTCAAGGAGCCTTCATGAAGCACATGGTAGGTAAAGATATGCATGTTTTTGATTCAAAGCGGAAAAAAGAATAGCACCTTATTAGCTCAGTGAGAAAATTGAAATCTTAGATGGTTTTTTAAAATTGAAAACTAATTCTTTTCATCCCCATGGCCACATTAATTCCTGGGTAATATATGTAAGTCACTATTCACATACTAAGTCATAAAGAGACTAGAACTGGGTAAAAAAACTTGGCTGAGGCTAATGTACATAAACATTTGGCAGCACTATTAGGGGGCTTAGGAGTGGTGTAGCGCTTCCTCGGTGATGAACAGGTTCTTTGTACCGTCTGGCACAGTAGCCAGTGATCACTCGAAATGTGGTTAGTGTGAACAAGGAACTGAAATTTTAAATGTATTAATTTTACTTAACTTAAATCTAAATAGCCAAGTGTAATTAGTGGCTCTGGTATTGGATGGCACAGGTGTAGAGCGGTAGCTCTGCAACCTCGGGACGCATCCGGATCTCTAGGAGGGCTTGTTGAAACGCAGACTGTTGGACCCATCCCCAGAGTTCCGATTTTGCAGGTCTGGGGGTGGGGGCGAGAACGTGCATTTATAACAAGCTCCCAGGTGATGCTGATGCCACTAGTTGGGGAACATACTCTGAGGATCACTGGCATAAATCAATACAAGGCAGACAGAGCAGGTAACATTTGCAAAGTTCTTACAGAGACTGGACCAAAGGAGGAAGATGGACAGCAGTCGTGTCAGTACCTAGGAGATGTGGCTGCTCATGGTGCCACCCTTCACTCTTCTGTTAGGCTTATGGCCTAGGTTCCAGGTCTGTGCTTATCCTGGTTTTCTGATCTGAGCCCTCTCTCTGGTGAGAACTGCCATTTTCTTTCAGGCCCTCGAGGAATTAATCAGGCTACTCAACCAGATGGTGTGTTCTCCCTTACTGTCCCAGCTGACTCTGCAGAGCTATTTTTGATGACAGTGTCCCATCTGACCTCACTGATTCTTACACTTTCCGATGTGGTTGCTTTTATTGTAGACCCAAGTAGGACGATTTGCCCCTCAGTTTTCTGGCTACCAGCAGCAAGACTCTCAGGAGCTGTTAGCCTTTCTTCTAGATGGGTTGCATGAAGATCTGAACCGAGTAAAGAAGAAGCCCTACCTGGAGCTGAAGGATGCCAGCGGGCGGCCAGATGCGGTACGCTATGAAGGTTTCTGGGCAGTAGTATTCCAAAGACATTGCCTCCTAGGGAGAGTTGCAGAGATTTTTTTTTAAGGAAAAAAAAAAGTTGCCCCTTGCTGTTGTTGATGTGGCCCTGGGTTCTGATAGAGAAATGCATTCCAGGTCAGAAAGGGCTAACTCGAGTGACTCCTAATGTTCCCTCTTTGCTTCATCAAGTTGGAGTCAGTTTCTCTGGTGTAATTTCATTGGTGAACCAGAAACTGGGGCACTCTGAAGACCATTCAGTGACTGTATATGGGCTCTTGAGATAATTGATGCTGTCATTAAATCCATCTATTATTTATGAAAATAGTTTGTTATTAATATTATTAGGGCACTTATACCTTTTACCTTGATTTTCCGGTCTATGAAAAGGGGATTTAGTATATAAATTACACTATCACAGTGGGATGATTGATATGAATACTTAAAAGTCGTATTTACGTCTTAAAGGAAAAACCATTAGCTGAACTATATTGATATAAATTAAAATCTCACTGAAGGAACTTTGGAGCATGGAAAACCCTATAGGTGGCAGTCCTTGCCTTGGTCATGTCTATGTACCCACAGTGCTCTTAGGTACATCTGTTTCCCATCAAAAGACAGACAGATACCTTGCTTCTTTAGATCCTGTGTCCATAAGCTGTTAAGCTGGCATGTGATGTGAGTATGGTACACTAAGCAGTCCTAGCGCTGCATGGCCTGGACCAAGTTCTTGGCTGCACAGACTGCCTCATGGTCCATCTCAGATTTTGCCGTCAGTCATTCTGGATGCAGGGGTAAAGGACGGAGGGGTGTGGAGAATGTCTTATTTATCCTGTCTTTTTTCTTCCAGGTGGTTGCAAAGGAAGCCTGGGAGAATCATCGGTTGAGGAATGACTCTGTGATTGTGGATACATTCCACGGCCTCTTCAAATCTACTTTGGTTTGTCCAGAATGTGCTAAGGTTTCTGTGACTTTTGACCCATTTTGCTATCTAACTCTCCCACTGCCCTTGAAGAAAGATCGTGTTATGGAGGTCTTCTTGGTTTCTGCTGATCCTCGCTGCAGACCCACTCAGGTAAGAGACTTGTTACCTTGTGGTACCTCTCGTTGTGAGTGGCCTCCAGACCCAGAGTGGTGCTGCTTCCATCTGCTGCACCGGATGCTCTGTCAGCTGCCTGCAAAACCCCTTGGCACTCGCCTAAGTGCGTGCCCTTGGCCTCCATCAGATGTTTGCGTAAAACCTGTATCATTGAAGGCCTATCGTGACGGTCCTCTGGGCGCCTCTCTGTCTGTTTTTGCCCCTTGCTCCATTCATTCGACTAAAGTAGCCTGGTTGATGTTCTAAGTACTCCTTGAATCTGAATGTTTTGCAATCAGAAGCTGGATACTTTCCTTGGTCAGGTTCATGCCTAAGTCAGCTAGGCGAGCTTGGCCAGAACAAAAGGCCAGATGAGTGGTGTGACCAGCAGGTCTAAGAGTCTAGCCCTGCCGATGGCTCACTGCATGACTGTACTGCATAGTCTCCTTGCCTTAGTTTCTTCTTCTCTAAAGAAAGATGGCATGTAGGACCTGTTGATTTATATGCTTTTAACCATTCTTTAAAGAGCGTGGTTAATAAAATACAACAGCGTTTAAAATGGAAAGAGTTGGCCCAGCGCCTGTGCTACTGCCTAAATAGAGAGGCAGGTGTGGTGCAGAAGACGCATCTCTGCGCTGTGCTGGCCACTCACCTGGGACCTGACCTCACTCACTGTACACTGCTTCTAGGGGGACACCTCTGCCCTCCGAGATGCCTGCTCTTCCCGGCTCATCTCGTCACCCCTCCCCTCTCTCCTTTGCAGTACCGCGTGATCGTGCCACTGATGGGGGCCATGTCTGACCTGTGCGAGGCTCTCTCCAGGCTGTCTGGCATTGCTGCAGAAAACGTAAGGCGGGGTGGTCAGTGGCGTTCAGCCAGTTGGGGTCGATTCATAGTCCTTTGGAGTTTATTTTTAACATTGTCGCCACTTTGGGGGCATAGTTCTTAACTGGCCAGCACAAATGTGATTATCTCTGGATGCCTCAGAGCCCCTGGGCCTCTCACTGCGAATGAGACCATCCCTTCCAACCCCAGGGAACAACCATCTTTCCTCTCTTGGAGTCACACCAGCCATTGTAGGGGGCAGAAGTAGGGCTGTGCTCTTAGCTTTACCACCTTTTCCTGCAACCTCTTGTATAATATGAGAGGCTGGAAGTTTTTTCCGCTCTAAACTCCGAAAGTCTGTGGAGTGACATTGTGGGAGTGACATTGTGATGTTCTTGGTAGAAATCTTACTTTAAAAATAA